CTTTTAGCTAGTGTTTTGTTACTTTTACTCTCATTTTTCTGCTTTTAGCTAGTGTTTTGTTACTTTTACTCTCATTTTTCTACTTTTAGCTAGTGTTTTGTTACTTTTACTCTCATGTTTCTACTTTTAGCTAGTGTTTTGTTACTTTTACTCTCATTGTTCTGCTTTTAGCTAGTGCTTTGTTACTTTTATTCTCATTTTTCTACTTTTAGCTAGTGTTTTGCTTCTTTTAGCTTCTATCTTTTACGTTTAGTTAGTCGTGTGTATCAGTGTTTGATTGTTTTTAGTTATTTTGAAGAGCTTCATCAGATTCAACCTTTATTTCTGCAGGTTAGTCTCATTGAGTCTCCAGGACTCGTTTACAAGAGAGACCTGATTTTAACAGATGGTCTGAGATTTAGTGAGCGGCACTCTTAGAATAAATATTAAAGTTTAAATGACTTTGTGGCAACAAGCAGTTTATATTGTATTTGTTGTGTGTATTTTATTTTGAAATCAGAAACAGGGGGAAGTAAACTTCCGCCGTGACGCTCGGTGTAATCGCGCGGCACGGATTAGACGCAGCTGCTCAATCCGGGGGATTGACGGAACTGCAGCGGCAGAAGTTCGTCAGAGAGGAATCTGAACGAACCGAACCTCGGTTCGGTCGAGGCGGGGCGTCTCTGTCCTCTCCGCCGTGTCTGTGTCAGAGACCGGAACATGCCTGAAGCGTGACGGTAAACTGGTCCAACGGGAGGGGAGGACAGGTGAGACGGTTTCATAAAGAAGTCCCACCTGGACATGGAGCTGCCGCCTGCTCACAACAACAACAACAACAACATGCGAGGAAAGTTCCTGCGAGCCGGAGTGTGACAGAACCCGCAGAAAGGGTGAGTCCTCCGAACTTTACTTCTTCTACGTTTTAGATGAAAGAGCGCCGCAGCTCGAGTTTTATCACGAGTCGCGTGAAACCGACACTTCAAAGGAGGGACAAAGTTTACATCCGCTTTATTTTGGTGGATTTCGAGCTTTATTTTGGTGGATTTCAGTTTCACCGTGAACTTAATGGAGACTTTTGGCCAGAGGGAGGAGCCGCACCCAGAGCTGAGACCAGAACCAGAACCAGAACCTGCATGTTCTGGGGCCAAGGTTCGGTGGAGATGACGCGTGCAGGAGGTGCTGAAGTTCATGTTTTAGGTTAAAAAAGGTTTTAAAATTAGTTTTCAAACGCTCTGGTCCTCCCTCTGTAACAAGTTTCCTGCTGCCTTTAGTTCATGGAGACTTTAAATGTTTTCAAGCGTTTCCTCTAAAAATACAATTCATTACAAATGTTTTTATTACTAAAGTGGGAAAAGTCACGAGAGCAACTTTAACAACTGAGTTTAAATGGATGTTACTAGAGCTGAATGTCAGCTGAAGAAGCCAAAAAGTAGAACACTAGCTAAAAGCTAGCTGTGAACTCAAAGTAATATAAAGCTTGCAAATAGCAACAAAAGGCTAAATAAAAGCTAAAAGAAGCAAACATCTATTTAGTGCTGAATGGCGCTTTTGCTGCAAACAAAAAATTAACCAAGTGCAACATAGGTGCACCTAGAAGCTGTAAATAGCAAGAGGGTATCTGAAAGCTAAAAGCAGCAAAAAAGTAAATAAAAGCTAGGAAATACTAGCTAAAGTTTAGTTAAAAGTAACTCGCTAGGTAGCTAAAAGTAACAAAAACCTAGCCAAAAGTATCAAACATCTAACTAAACGTAGCAGAATTGTAACTAAAAGCAACAAAAAGTTAGCTAAAAATAACTAAAAGCTAGAAAATACTAGCAAGTTAGCGAAAAGTAACTAAAAGCTAGGAAATACTAGCAAGTTAGTGAAAAGTAACTAAAAGCTAGGAAATACTAGCTAAAGTATAGTTAAAAGTAACTAGCTAGGTAAAAGTAACAAACATCTAACTAAACGTAGCAGAATTGTTACTAAAATCAGTAAAAAGTTAGCTAAAAGTAACTAAAAGCTAGGAAATACTAGCTAAAGTTTAGCTAAAAGTAACA